CTTATCTACTAATTGCAACAGGGATATCTAGGAATGGGTATTGCACCCTCAGTTAAAGAGATATACTTGGCACTTCGCAACAGGTTCTCGAAAGATGTTTAAATAGATTGTTGGGTATTTAATATCGTTACCCAAGTGACAGCAGCAGGTCCGCCAAGCCCCCAAACTTCTATGCAATATGAGAGCGCTTGAAACTTTTCAACAATTTATCAGGTTGCGACTCAATCACATTATCGGGCTCAGTGGTGTTAGAATTTTTATTTTCTGTTCAGGATTAAAGGCCTTCAGGACCGACAATTTCATCTTATAAATTAGCATTGGTTGACCCTCTGGCGTGGGGTTTAATATTACTTTGAACCCAAAATTTATCCGTCTTAGATCGTCCTTACATTCAGAGACCTCCTCAGCCTAAGAAGAATCCACCTTGGTCTCTAGATAAAGTTACTAAATTTCTTATGGCGCCTAATTACAATATAAATCTGAACCAGGACAGATTGTGCTCCAGAAGGCAACCTTCCTTCTACCAATAGCAACAGGTATGAGAATCAGTGAACTGAATTCAATTTCCAATAATCCATCATTATTGGTATTTCTGAGGAAGATGTCTTCCCTTTTCTCACAGATTCTAAGAAAAAATGAAAGGGAGGATTTAAAGCTCAACCTATCAGGATAAAATGGCTGATGGATGAGACAAGGGTTCCTCATATATTGTGCCCAAATTAAGATCTTCAGAATGGTTAACCAGATTCCTAATTGAAGTCCTATCTTTATTCTCATCACAGGATGGTAAGAAATTGTCTCCTAGTCAAATGACAAAATATTTATCTCAGTTAGTGAGTAAAGCAGACCCTGGAAGAATTTTTGGCACATGATAAGGAAATATACAAGGTCTGTAAGCCTTTCTGCGGTATATTAGCCTCAGAGAGATCAAAGAAGTGGGCTTTTGGAAATCTTCAAAACCTTTCAAAACAGCTATCTTCATCTATCTCTGGAAGATGCTTCACTTGTGGTGGTGCTGGGTTTCCCTCCCCCACCTAGTTACTCTCCACAACCAGGACCTTCTTCTTCCTCATCAGAGTAAAGTGAGTATTCTAATTGGGATATGTAAATTAACATTTTACCTTTCATTAAATGTTCCTAAAAAAAAAAAAAATAAATAAATAAATTATAATTATAATCTGGACCTAAGCTAGCAGAGCCTTATATGCAATGTCACCTCCTCTCCTTCTGCTTGGGTAATCAAAACTAGACGTCGCATATTGGATTGAACAAAAAGCTTTTTTTCTAAAACAGTTTTATGATATCGTGGTCAGAATCTTGACGTCGATATCACCCATCTCCACCCCCTCAAGAGTTGACATTTGTTTACAGCTAGCTCGCTCTAGGGCAAGAATGAGAAATGTAGTGGGCGTCTCCTAACCTAGTAGCCGCATTCCAATGCCACAGTATCCTAGCAACCAGCCACCTGCTTCGTCTTCCTAGCAACCAAACAGCGGCAGGGGGTGGGGCGTCACCAGATGCCACAGTATCCTAGCAACCAGCCACGTCTTCCCTAACAGCGAGTCAAACCGGCGACTTCCCACGGTTTACTTCCGGTGGCTGTTATATAAGCTCTGTCTCTCCATTGAGATTCATTTTGGCCTCGGTTCCTGAACCACCAACACCTCCTCCTCCGCGCTGCCTGGCGCCTCGCTTCTCCTCCGCCTGCCTGGCGGTCTCTCGCGGCGAGCATGGCGACCCACCAGCTGTCCTTCTCTTAGCGTCCTCACCAACCAGCTCTGATTCTCTCGTTCCTGAACACGCAACACCCCCTCCAAGCAAGCTCTTCGCTGTCCGCTCTCATTCAACCTGGAGGCCAGCAACAGGCAACATCTTCTTTAACGAAGCTCCTGCACATCTACCTCCTTCAACACGCTACTCACCGAACGTGTCTACTGAGCAGCTCCTCACCACATGGCATCTCCAGCACCAGACTGTCTACCATATAACTATATTATATAAAAACCACCTTAGAGTTTCCATCCATCCCATCCTGAGTGCTAGACAACATAATATCACGTAACCCTACAGAACCAATGCGTGTGATGGAGTGCGGGGGAGGTTTTGAAAATTGCAATTAAATGCCAGGTAGCGACATGTCTTCTTAATATTACGTATTTAAGTAATTATTAGATGTTTTAATTGCCTGTATGTTGGCCAGGCGAGTTAATGCTAGGCATTTACATACCTAGGTATAAAGCTAGACATCGCATTCTGGACTACTGTATATCACAAGAACTGGTTTTTAGAAAAAAATGACTATTTTCAATACTATTAGAAAAAAAAATCACAAATTATAAAATTTATTTTGTGTGGATTTCTTGGTGGTTGCTACAATACTGTACAGGGCGAGGCAGGAGCCAGTAGTGCCCCTCCGTCTCCCTCCCAGTAACTCCGATTGCATCACCTTACCTCACCACCTCACCTAATGCAGCACTCAACATCGTTTGTGGTAAGTTAAATTCAAGTGTTTGGTATATTTATTAGCATATTATATCATAAAATAATCAATGTATGAGTTAAAAAAAAATCATTCATAAATGTGCTTGTACTGTATTATTTCTTTTTGTAAAAAATATTTCATGAGAACGCATCTCCAATTATATAATGGAAGTCAATGGGAAAATTGGTTTCGCGTTACGGAATTTCACGTTACAGACAAATTTTCAAGGACACACCTTGTGTAACCCGGGAGATGCTTATTTAGGCAGCCTGACTAGTTTAAGGGTTCTTGATAACACCTATGATCTAAACACTGACATTTCATCGACTACATCATTATCAGAGAAATAGATCGCCGAGCTATCCTCATCACCAGAGCCACGAGTGAATCAAGCCATTGTGAGACAGACTATCGCCTCATCAGAGAAAATCTCTCCCTTCAAGTTACCCCAAAATGGCAAAAACAACAGGTCACCAGAAGTGGTTTCAACACCAAGTGACTCGAGGATAAAAAAGTGGAATACGCTTTCAAAGTGTAACTCAATGAGGGGCTGATATACAATCTAACAACTAACAACTTGGGTTCGAGTGTTGAATGGGGGTGAACTCAAAACCATCATCACCAAAAATGGCAGCAAAACCCTCGGTCAGTCCAGAAGAAAAACCCAGGATTTGTTTCATGAAAATAACCAGGATTTTGACATACTCCTTTCTGGTAAATGTGATACCTGTATTGACCGAAAAAACAACCCTCTGTCCCAGACCAAATCTGCTACTTTTTGCCAGCAATACTCCAGTGCAAGCATCAGTAAATAAAGAATGTATTTGAAATGCAAACATTTGTGGATCAACACCAGATGTGTGAATTCTTAAATTTCATCAAAGAAATCTAGAGCCTAACTACAAATGGTGTGGCCTCTCTGCTCATCTGACAGTAACTCCCTAATTAAAGACCAAGAGGGCATCCTTCAGTGCTAGAAAGAGCACTACCATTTCGAGTCAACTGAAACAGATGACGATGTGTCCTGATTACCCAGCAGGTCCGTTAGCACCCAAAGTTGGCCCACCTTGACCATCCTCTATCCTGTGATGAAGTAGCTGTTGCCATCTAGCTGTGAAAAATAACAAAACCACAGGACCTGATGGAATCTCAGCTCAGGTATATAAAATGGGAGGACCTCTGCTGACCAGTCATCAACGTCTCTAAGAACACAGGAGACATGTCAGAATGTGGCAACTACTGTGGCATCTTAGGGCTTTCCATAATTGGCAAGAATCTTACTCAATTCCTTCATAACAGACTCCTACTTGAGGCAGAAACTTCCTCTTGGAGTCTCATTGTGTGTGTATACCATCTCACTGCATGATCTTTGCTGCCCACCAGATACAGGAGGCTGTCATTGACCTTACTAAGGTCTTTGACTTTATCAAAATACTGTAATAAGGAAGCCCCCTGGCAGACTCTCATTGTTTGATTATCCACCAAAATATATTGCCATTGTGAGGTAACCACAACTCCATCTTGGCTGAGTGGCAGGATCCTGCATAATGGCACCCACTCCGAGTTCTTCCCCATCTAAATGTGAGTAAAACAAGGATGTGTACTGTAACTTTTTCCATATTTTTGGCTACCTTCCTTGCCAGTGCCAATCCAATCAGTAGAGTGGAAGTCCAATGCTGTATGAAGGGATTTTTCAGCATAAATACAGAAAGGAACAAAGGTGTTAGATGCTTCTATCACTAAACTTTACCTCACTCTCGTTGCTCATACTGAATGGGACCATATACAATACACTTTGGCATTGGGGTGAATGTATGCTAGACACATATTATCTTCCAGCCTGCACCTGGTTCAACCATGACTCCATCCAGGTTAATGGGACCACCCTTTCCAATGTTAATCATTTCCAGTACCACCATGGAGATCAATGAAGAGATCCGACATCAGATCAGATGTGCATCTCGGCCTTTGGTAAACAGCATACCCTTGTCTTCAGGTGTAGGGACCTAAAATTATCTACAAAGCTGTGTTTATATTGATCAGTGGTCCTATCAACCCTGCTGTATGGCAGCGAGACATGGGTCACATACTGGAGACACCTCAAGATACCTGAAAACTTTTGTCAAAATAGTCTGTTTCATCCTCTAAGTCCACTGGGACATGAGAACAAATGCCAATATTCTCAGTTACACCATAAAAAATAATTTTCATATGATTCTTGTGGTAGTTTAAAATCATAAATGATTTCATAAAATTTTTTAGTTGGAAATACTAATTTAATGGACAACATGATGACCCAGGTATTTGTCTAACTGTCATATGATTCCCATGTTAAAATATGTTACCAATTTTCTGCCACAGTATATTAATCTATTATTCAACAAATCCTGCCTTAACAGTGTTAGTAACCTTTTAACTTCTTTATGGATTCACTTTCTTTTTATCTATATTTTTTATGGTAGAAGCAAATCCCTGAAAATAATACTTTGGATTAATGCACAATTGCAGGTCTCTGTACCTGTTCCATGAAGAGTAATGAGATACGTTCAAACATTTGGTTTCCATTGAGTGCCGTAACAGCCATATAAAGAAAGAGGCCATCAAGCACTGCTGTTGGGATGTAAGCCAGTGGATAAGGTAACAGGAAGATGGACAACCCGATGAGAATATTGGAGAAAAGTCCAGTCAGCCGGGTTTCACGCACCTTCACAATTCTGTTGAAATCCACAGTGAAAGTGAGTTATAGTGGGGCTAATAAACATAAAACTTGCACATTTAGAAACAATCACCAAGCAATGGAAAAGTGCATATAAGTGAATAGCAATTACTTTTAGGAGCCCCCAATTGGGAACTGCAGTGCCATATTTATCATGCCCGATTATTAAAATTTTTGGGAATTCAGGAAGGTTTTTGACTTGCCAGTGTCCTCACATTTCATATTTTGATCAATTACTATATATTTAAAAAAACCAAAAATCATAAGGGTCTTACATTTCATACACATGCCCCTGCTCAACCCGCTCTTCAACATCAGCAAGAGAGCGGACATGTAGAGGCGAGTGTGGTAGACACGCATGCATCCAAGGTAATCCAAAGAGAGAGAGAAACCCATTCATGAATGCCACCACGAGGAGGTCCAAGTGGTACGCTGGACCTTTCTTTAACCTAAAAAGGAATAACAACATTATGAGCTATATGGTTACATGCACTCCAGAAGGAAGCTAGTCTAATGTATCATTGATTAAAATTAGAAAAACAGTTATGAACTCTGAGGATTCTTTCACTCCCATGATCTAAAGGGTGAGAGGAAACTTTCTACCTAAAAGCAAAAATATTACCACTTGCCAGCTTACTAGCTGGTCGGTCAGTCAGTCAGTTCTCTGTTAAACACTGTTGGCAAGTACACTTCCAGGTATGATCACTTGATTGAGTAATATCCTCTTGAGGTGCTTAAAGACTTCTATTAAGTCACCCCATGTCTGCCTATAATATAAGCAAGGCAATTGCAGGCACTCTAATCTCCCTTTGGGTACCTGAGGTGCCTTAGTGCAGACACCAGTCTGTTGGCCCTCCTTTGGATGTTTTCCATCAATTGACAGTCTCTAGCATATCTCGGGAACCAGACGGGGAAGCACCTCACTTTTGAAGAGCGTTACAAAGAACACACCATCTAGGTATCTGAACGCTCTTCTTTTAAGACCCACAAGTTTATTTGTTTGATTCACCTTCTTCTCACAATGGTCCAAGAACTTCAGTTCATTGTCAACATACACACACAGGTGCTCTTTCAATATCCTGTTGGAGCATATGATAAGCCTCCCTACTGTTGATATGACTTACAGTAAGTGCATCCTCTTGCATTTCGTGACATTGAATCACAACAGCCATTCCTTTGACCACTCCTGAAGCTGACAGAGATCTTTCTGTAGCTCTTCACAGTCTGTTTGGTTTTTAATTTCCCTGAATAATTTGGCACTATCTGCAAACATTTGTATGGAGGAGTGTATTAATGAAATAAGCAAACAACAACGAGCCATTACACTGCCCTGTGGTACCCCGTTTTTCATGGGTGCACATGAGGATTTCATGCCATTAATCACCACTCACTGCTTGCGGTTCTGGAGAAAGTCTCCAATCCAAGCTAGGATGCTCCTTCAATTTCCGTACCTTCCAGTTTAATTTTCAGCCATTCATCCAGTGCACTGTCAAAAGCCTCGGCAAAGTCCAGATATATATTGTTGATATTGCCACCACGCTCCAGGATCTGAGACAAACATCCAGCACCTTAAGTAATTGTCTAGTACTTTACACACTATGCTGGTCAAGCTCACTGGCCTATAATTATTTACGGAGTGGTGATCTCCCTGTTAGTATAGAGGAATTGCATATGCCATTTTTCAGTCGCTGGAACATTTAATCATTCATGCATCTGTAAAACAGGATTTTAAGGGACTCTGCAAGCTCATTGCACAACTCTGGAATGCATACTGTCAGGGGTAGGGCTCCTATAAACCTTTAGCTTTGACAATTTGTTCGTAAACCCCTCTTTTGAGAACAATGTGCATCAGCACCTTGTCAAACTGTCTTTCTTCAAATGCAGGGAGATTGTTTGCATCTTCTCTTGTGAACACTGAGGAAAAGAATTTGTTTAAGTATCCAGCTTTGTTTTGATTTGAGTCCGCATAACTACCATTGTGATGGCACCGACCTGAGCAACAGGTCAGTGCCTGCAACTGCCTAACTAAATACTACAGACAGGCAAGGGGTGACCTAAATGAGGTGTATAAACATCTCAGAGGGGGGCACTCAGTTGAGTGTCCATACCTGGAGCTGGCAGATGCCTGCCCCATAAGGGGTCACAGCTCAAGGTTGAAGAAGCCACAAGTCAAGAAAACTGTGAGGGCAAACGTTTTTAGAGAGAGAATTGTGAACTCTTGGAACATTCTGCCAGAGTGTTGTGATGGCACTGAGAGTGAGGTTTTTCAAGACCAGACTTGAGCTGATCAGTGGTGAAGAGGATAAAGTAGATAAAATAAAGATACTGTAATGATAGCAATCACAAACTCACTTATTGCATGGGTTGTTGACCATGGCAGAGCCGATGTTTTGATCCATGAAGAAGAGCATTGATAGTGAGAAGCCCAGGCCCATCGTAGCAAACACTGCTGGGTAAGGCAGCGTCTCCAATGGGGGTAATTTGAACATGTCATAGCTGTTGTCATACCGGAAGTGTTCCACTGTCAACCACAAAAATATGTTTCTATTCAGTGAATGATATTAATACAAATAAAAAATAGAGCATTAGAATGATTACATAAGCTACCGTGTTTATGCATTTAATGTATTTTGAGGTTAAACTGAATCAAACAAAAAATCATGAAGAAACAAAACAAAATAGACTACCGGGTATATCATGTAGCTATAAAAATATAAAAGTAAGTGGTTATAAAAGGAATAAATGTCATAAAACCAAAATGCAAAAAAGCAACCTAAAAACAAATTCAAACCCATGCTGGTAACTGGGAGTGCCATTCAATCTCCCCACAGTGATGCACAACACTGAGGTGCTATCCATGTTCTACCCACACTCAATCATTACCATAAGCTGTAACTGCCTTGTAGCAGCACACTCTTATGTACAACTCAAAACCCATATTTTGCTCAGAAGTATTTGCATATTAGTATTACTACTCACTTAATGATGAGCCACAGACAGCAAGCTGCCTTGATCTCAAACTTTAAAATACCTGTAGTGTATCTTTCTCTTAATTCTCATGTAATTAAAATTTACATGCAAGTCAGATGACAATCTCAAATAATTTCTTAACAGTTACAAAGAACAATTCTGACAATAATAGTCACCTAATCTTGTCATAGGTGCATATACAGGGTATACTTCTATTTTTATTTTTTTTTAATATGGAAACTTGACAATATGATAGTAGGGTATAAAAATGTGAGTATGGGCAGTCCACAGGTCTGGCTATAACACCGTCAATGGCGACAGCAGTAGTGTATAGATGCAGACGGAGGTGCTGCTGTGTCTACCTCACAAGGAAGAGGGCAGCCAAGGAGGACACTTACTCTCATTCTTAACTGAAATGGGAAAAAAACAGGAAAAAAAATTGAAAACAAAAAGAGTGGAATAAGATGTTTTTTTTTTATGTAGGAAGATAACTCTATGGCAAGCTTAATGAAAGAATGGAAGAAACTACAGTTATGATTGGTCTAGGAAACAGACTGCCTGATACTGTAAATAACAAGTGACTAAAAAAAAGAAGAAATGATTGAGTCTAAACTTTTTTTTGGTAGTTGTATTACAGTGATGTAGGTCTCAAGACCTTTTTTTCTAGGTCTTGGTCTAAGTCTCAGGTGCTTAGGTCTCAGTCTTAGTCTTGGACAATTGTATACTGTACTTGGATTTTTGGTCGAGACACACAAATGTATTGACTGTGCTGTATTATTTTTCAAGTTTGTTGGGAGGAAGTTGTAAACTGGTTAAATCTGGGTTCAGGTAGGGATAGATACCTCACCTTAGGTCTCTACCTCACCTCCAGTCACTGATTCCCCTATCTGGAACTGGTAAGAGTTGACCACAAGTCCATATTTCCTGGATTTCAGTAAATTTTCTTAAGCAAGGATGATCCCAGTCAATCTAGCACTGACCTTTCTAACTGCACTGACATCTAGTGGTCCAGTTGAGGTTGCAACTAGCAAAGAGGGATTAATGATGAGGCTCCTTAGATGCCCTACATTAGTAAGTATATATATATATATATATATATATATATATATATATATATATATATATATATATATATATATATATATATATATATATATATATATATATATATATATATATATATATATATATATATACACATATATATATATAATCAACGACCTCACCAGCAAGGAATCGAACCCTCGACCTACTGGGTTGGACTAGGGAACGCTTACCGGCTAGCCCACAAGGACACTAAAAGCAGTTCTAGACTCTGTTATATTTCACACAAAGCCTGTTCATCGAGCTGATGGCGCCGTGAACCTCATTGGGAAACTGCCCATGCCTCGTATGTGGTGTCGGTAGCATTTTACAGAATCCAGCTGGTATGAAACGCGAGGTACATATATATACAGTACTTCATTTTTAGTCCATTTAACACGCGGACTTTGAACATATAATCAACGACCTCACCAGCAAGGAATCAAACCCTCGACCTACTGGGTGTGACTAGGGAACACTTACTGGCTAGGCCACAAGGACACTAAAAGCAGTTCTAGACTCTGTTATATTTCACACAAAGCCTGTTCATCGAGCTGATGGCGCCGTGAACCTCATTGGGAAACTGCCCGTGCCTCGTATGTGGTGTCAGTAGCATTTTACCGAATCCAGCTGGTATGAAACGCGAGGTACATATATTTACTTCATTTTTAGTCCATTTAACACGCGGACTTTGAACATATAATCAACGACCAGACAAGCAGAGAGAGAGCGCAGCCGAACTGCCGGATGTAAACAAACCTTAATTTCCCGCGGCTTTGTTTTTTTTTTGTTTTTTTTTTTATGATTAGCCCCCATATAGGTCACTGACCCACATTGCGGCCTGAGGGGCAAAAATTTAATACTCATGTAATAATTATAATAATAATTCAGATAAGTAAAAAAAAAAAAAAAAGCTGCCTATTGGACAAACTAAAGCTAAATGAAAAGTCTTGGTCTCTATTTTTAAAAGTTTTCACCTCAGAAGGCAGGTCTCGGTCTTTGTTTAAAAAGGCAAGTCTAAGTCTCGGATTTAGTGGTCTCAACTACATCACTGTTGTATTGTACAACCCACACAAACTGGATTTTAATGTACAGTACTGTATACACATTCAGCATGCAAACTCAACATGCCACACAATACTCCATGCTTGCCAGTTATGAAACATAAATAAATATAGTCTCAAGAACTGGGCATGGTTCACATGTAAATGATAAAAAAAGAGATATAGAAATGAAGACACAGTACAGTACTGTACTGTACTTTAATAATAAGTCAAAACTGTAATCAAAGAATTCGGTCCACCAATGGCAGCATAATGAGCCTACAATTGGTCCATTAGTGGCAGTGTGGAGAGAGCACACTGTTGATAAAAAAAAAATGGTACACAAGGAGGTAGTGTGGCCAGCATTCTTGTCATAGTTTCATTGTATCAAAACAAAAATGGTGTTAATGATAAATTAAATTATATTTTGGAAGTGCTTGCCACTAAAGGTGTTAAATCTCCATGGTACTGCAACAAGGTTCTGGGGGCCACAACTCTGGAGCTTGGACAAAAATAAGGGACTACAGTATTGATTATCACACATATCTGAGATCCTGTTGTGAGACATCTACCCACCAAGTTTGTTTAAATCCTGACTGCTTGATTGAAATATGTGCAGAAAGTTGAATGCACATAAACACATATAATACTTGTACTGTACATACAGGGTGTACATTTCATGATTTGTGTAAAAATTACTGATAAAATAATTCAGTTGATTGTGAAGTTAAATGCAAACTTGAAAAAATTTCCAAACCCTAGCAAGTGTTCACAATACGATTACAGTATAATATGCCCCTTTGATGAGAAAACATAAAAAAAATGGAAGAATCTTTATAAATAACTGTCTGGTTTGTTACACTGTCCTGAGGGTGTTTGTTGCTGCAGATGTTGCAAATACTGTACAGAAGAAACAGACAAACACACAAAAAATACAAAGAGATAAACTGTAGCAGTTAATCCATATTGTATACTCAAAGTTTATTCACAAATGAAATACCCTGTTTCGACTTGGTTATGGTGTAGATTATAAATTTGTTCCCTTAATTATCTAATTACCATAGGTTGTGCAGACACAACAGCAGTTATAACTACAGTACTGTACTGTATAACTAATGTTGGGAGTAGCAACACAATGTAGCAGGTAGAACTTCTTTTTAAATGGAGGCAGCTTTAGCATCATTGTTTTTGAGGAAAAGTAGTGAAAGCAGTAGCAGAGCTACACTTCAGAGGAATTCTATCAACTACTAGCTACTTTTACAATGTTTTATTTGGGGCAGTGTATTCTTTAGAAAATGATGCAACCAATCAACTTTCTAGAACTTTGCTGCTCTCATTCTGCTGTCTTTGAGCATGTAGCTGCAAGTGTGTGTAGCCACTCCTTGGCAATTTTCACAAAATTTCGGATTTTTTGCTCTAACTTTGGGTTAGGGACCCAATTCCAGGTTGTAAGTCGAAAATGCAAAAATAATACATAGAAAATCTAATATGAGTGTCTCTTTTTCTTCTCAACACTACAAAACTCTCACTTTAAGCTTGCCAGCCATTTTAAAGGGAATTACAAACGAAAATTTTGTCAGTATACAGCGCAATCACTAACATCGGGACTCGAAAATACGTAATTTGAAAACATTTTGGTACGACTGGGGCGGTCGATGTCCGGGTGGTCGTAAGTTGAGTAGATCGTAGGTCGAGGAGTGGCTGTACAGTATAATCCTGAATAATAATATTGGTGAAACACCTGTACAGTATTTATTTTATATCACAAATACAGTACTGTATTAATAAGTGCTAGTATGGCTGTGGCCTGAGGAAGACCGACTTAGAATTCGGCAGTAGCCTTATGACGTACTAATGTGTGATTATTTATTGTGACTCTTGCCTTGAGTGGCTTAGCTTCCTGACATTTTCAGTATACAGCCATCATGGAACTGAGTAATCCTCAACCTATCAGACACAACAAATCTGTGGTCGTACATCAGTGAGTAGAGTACTTCATATTCGTATATAAATTTTTAAATTTTGATGGAAACTTTGTCACCCTGTAGTTCACTACTGTATTACTGTATTGCAACATTGAATGCTCTTCAAAAGGAGCAGTAGTTTACTACTATTCCAAAGAGATGGCTGTAATGGTAGCCTGCTTAAACTTGGCCAGAGTAGTGGTAGTGCTATATCCAGGAGATAGTGTACAGTACACAAAACTGACTACTGTACAACTTTTTGCAGGTGGGAGCGGTGATCCAGGTTTACGGCAGCAATTTAATAATATAATACACAAGAGAAGTGCTTGATCAAAAAGCATATTACATCAAGAATGCAAAGATCTTAGGCTTATTATTAGCAATTACCCAACAGATTAATGAAAGACTACGTACAGTAATTGATGACCAGTCAGAAGTCTTGGTACAGCACAAATAATTCTTTCCACTTCTTTAAGTGACAAGATTTAAGGATTTCTAATTTAAAAATAAGATCCTTTCAGTGAAGGCAATTTTTTTTAAAAATATATCATGGGATACAATGTTATTGAATAATCAGTGCATTCATTGTTGTGTAAAATCTTTTCTTGTAATCATGTTAATTTAATAACCTTAATAAATATGCAAACATTTCAAACAATTTAGTATGAACTTAGAAAGATTACTGTAAGTAGAAGGGACAAGTCATACTGCTGCACATCAAACTGCAATACTGTACTGTACTGTACTCTATTGCACTGTACTACTTTTACTTTTTAACTTTTATCCTCTTCACCACTGATTGACTCGTTAGCCGCTTGGGCGATCGGTCAGGTCTCTGTTATGCACTGTTGGTAAGTATTGGGCATATACTGGCTCCAGAATGGAGGTAGTAGGTAGCTACCGAACAGGGAGGTACTACCGCCTGGGAAGATATTGGCAGCATAATGTGTTGTCTAATGGTAGACCCTGCTGCCACTTGTCATCACGAAAATTGTGACCAAGTCCCAGGATGCTGATCTGACTTTCTGCCTCATTTACACAATTGTAGGGTCTCAATTATTTCTATTACATGACAAAACAACATACATATAGCATTTCTCACTGTTGATTTTTTTTTCATTCTTGCATTTCTTTGTATTTATTATTATCACAGTGTTGTTATTATTATTATTACCATTAATATTTTATTTTACTTTTTATTATAAATTGTATTTACTATGAATTATTATTATTATTGCATTTTCGTCCCCCGGGCCCTGATGTGGGTCAGTGACCTGTGCCCGGGTGGGCTAAGAACTTCAGCTCATTGTCAAAGTAGAC